GAGAAATGGTTACCACTTCGTCGTTTTAACTTCACGCCGTTCGACCTTTCTCGGTCCAAAGGGCAAATGCCGATGACGGCAGCCCTCCCGGCGCGGCATGAAGAAACCCCCCAATGCCAAGCTGGACACGGGACTGTCATGCAATGTAACGGGCAGTTGTTTGTATGGCCCGCTTACACAGTCCCGGAATAGCCTAAGCTGCTGCTCGCCTGACCTCAAGTCCGACGAGAACGTCCTTCTCCGATGACGGCCAGGCCTTGGGCGAGATGTCTGAATGTAGATCTCCCAATTTTAAAAGAGCGTACCATCTGAGCAGTGGGGTCGCGGCTCACTCTGTAGCTTGAGAGCGTGATAACTAAATCGAGCCAGTGACCTTTGTCGTCATGCGCCTGCATAGTGTGATGCCTATGATAGCCTTGCTGCTGCTCAGAACTGTCGCTTCGCCGATGTTGAGAGCCATGCCATACATATCTAAACAAATACCTATAAATCAAGTGTAAGTATTAATGGGTTCGGACTCCTACGACACAAATGATTGAGTCGTCCTGATTGATGTCTGCTGATATGACTCTTGAGGATATTGACTTATTTCGTAAGTGCTGTCTGCAGCAACGTGCCGACTAGGTACATCACCTGTCTTTTGATTGCTAATCTAGGTATTCCAGCTATCTCTGTCTCTCCTTGCTGTCGTCATCAGTGCTCGACGAAGTATTGCTGCCGCATACTTTCAAGTTGCCTGCAGAGCTTGCAGCACTTCATCCGACGAAGGAGTAGGTCGAACTGGCTGGTGAGATCATGGCAAGAGATGCGTCAATAAGTACATTGACGCCCTCATTTTATACATCATCCCACTGCACGATGCACAGAAACGCTGCCCTTTTCATCGCCATCTAACCCCTTTTAAAACAATCCAGGCCGCATATGCCGCTTGGGATCGAGACAGAAATACCAGATGGTCCAGAAACTCGTTTTCAGTCGTAAGAGAAAGCCTAGGCTCTCCGATGGTCTGAACCATGACCCCAAGGCACTCATGCTTCGTCGAGGGGTCCTACGAAGTGCTGAGTCTCGTCCTTGGAGATGTCCGTCTTGCGCTTATGTGACACGTCGTCTTTTGAGTATACCTCAAGCTGTAGATCAAGACAGCTTTCAGGCTTTAACGATGAATGGTTTGCGCTGCAAGTAATTTTTGTCGATGTGTCGATGCATTTACCGCGATAGTGGCTACGATGAATAGTGCGCACAAGCACACAGGCACGATGCCATTGTTCGTACATAGCAAGTTCAGTTCCAAAAGACTCTTCATATACCTCAGCCAAGGGAGATTATGAAACTTGAGGATTTCGTAGCTAGAGGAGTCATCCCAATCGGTGATGAGCGTCGTTCCATGCCATACCTCTGAGGACGCCGCGTCGAGTTTTATTAAAGCCACATGTGATCATGAGAAACTCTGGAGAAATCAAAATGAAATGGTCAATGACTTTAAATGCTTTCGAGTCACTGCTTGAAGAAACCGCTGCGAAGCTTGGTGCGATGAATGCTTTCAAGGGGCGTAGCATAGCAATACTTCTCTTGTATACTTACTTAATGCTGCCTCCTGCTCGCCGTTAGTGTCCTTCATATTCCCGAGAGTATAGTCTCATAATAATCAAATCATCTATGGAACCTAGGAATTTTCGTCAAGGATGACTCTACTTAGCAACTGACGAATGCCCCCCTGACAAAGGTCAAGTCTAGAAAGCGACTCAAATGGGGATACCAAACTTGGACACGGTGGCTAACATTTGCGATAGAGGTTTCAATGACTTTCATTTTCTGTGTTTTATACGTTAGCCTTCGCGATTGAGGTGCCTTGGCAGTGGCACACCAGAGACATTGCATACGACATGCAAGATAGTCGCCATGGAGCAACTCGAACTCCGTGTGCAAGGAAATAGATTCAAATCGGGCACAATGTCTGCACCGATGACTAAAGACTGAGTCTTTTGACATTGAAGGTGACTTTTCTGGTAAGGATGATCGGTCATCTTCAACGGTTTCTTTCCCGCCAAAGTGGGAAGACAACCAAGCTTTATGACGAGAAATTCATGAACTAACTCCGGCAATGTTGCAGAGTTAAATCTGAGGGCTTTCGTTATGTGTTTCTTGGTGCAATGACTGCTATTGTGTTCAATAAACCTAAGACAGTGGCAGACTGCAGCATCACTATGAGGCTTGAATGCATCACTAACACAAGTGTTCCTCACAGCTCCAGGCTGTAAACCTTGTTGCACTAACGCTCTCCCAAACTTCCAACAGAGTTATAAGATAGTGAGATTGTTGTCTGCTACTTCGATTGAGTATACGCAAAGTCTGCTATTCTCATAGACATCTTGTGTCAAAGTCGTGAAGTTTCTTTTCGAAGTTGCTTCGTCGTTGTCTCCTCAAAATACGAAGAGATCACCAGCTATATTTTGCGTGACCATCGCCGACGTCTTCTCAACATTTTGGACCAAATCAAGTTGATGGATCATCTGTACTCCAAACTGCAAAGTACTTCGAGCTCTAACAGGAGCACCGGAACTAGGCGATGCCAGATACGCCCGTGATGGAGGTAAACAAAATTGGCTCTTGTTGTTGGATATACTTCTGCTTCGGTTTTGTCTTCGTCAGCACCGTATTGCCTCGAATACATTTTCAATGGAACCAGACTAGAACTCAGCCAGAACTTAACGCCACCCCTCTTTCTTGCATAGCTGCACCGCCCACGGGTACGAAAGCAACCTGGCTCACTACCAGCCCCTGGTTCACAAGGCGTGTTCATTCTTTGGATAGAAACAAAGTTTGTGCCGAATGTCTTTGGCAACTTATACCAGCGCCAAGCTCTTGTGATACCCGCGCCGAAGAACAATAGCTCACTTGCCCGAAGGAGGGAATCATCCTCGTGCGAAGAACGCATGTATTTGGGTCGAGTCGATCAAACCTCTGACTTGGCGCAATAATCCGGGATAGAATCATACTACTGATTTCGTGAAGTATGCGTCCAAGATTTATCCTGACGCCAAGGATGTCATTGAAACGTCGGGAGGTCAAAAGCCACCGATTCACCATCGAGGAGTTCCGGGATTGAAGGCCGAGATCACAAACCAAGATGATCTCAGCTTCCGCAGACATCAAGTATGAATATCCTCCTGAAACAAATGGAATTTCAAAGATATGCGGCAAGAATAGGAGGCACTCGGTGCAGTGTCCACTGATTTCACTAGCTATCTCCATGACAAAATAGTCACTAGCCACCAGTGACTGTACCGATTCTCCGCACAGCCTCGTATCCCATCCAATAGAGACATCATATCTATCTTTTCCGGCTCTCCCGCGTGTATAAACTATCAAATACGTAAGGATGAATCGTAGCTCAAAACTTCTCGGCTCACTGTGCTTAGACGCAAGATAAGAGCCCAAGCATGCGCATCTCAGCAGTGCGGGACTTTCACAAGACCCACAAGACGATGGCTGGCTTATTTGGCGCAAGACGAAGTCATCTAGCATCACTTTTGCTGTAACACCTTATATATCACGAGGCTTTGGAGTGTTTCCCATCAGAAGATATTCCCATTATTTGAGGTGACATACCGACGGCTCACGCGGGTAAAGCCCAATGATTTTCCTGAGACCTTCACTCAACGTACATATATATACGAATGAATGAGCGCCGGATTTCACAGCCACAAGTTCGAGGGTCACGCGGCAACTCTGATCAAAAAGCGAGCGTGCGGTTGAGCTCTTTGCTCAGGCGCATCCAATCAGGCCGCTTCTTCAACACGTCAGTCATTGCTACTCCCATCAGGCGTTCTCTTAGGTCTTTGTCCCGCAGATCTTCCTGTATATCCCGGAGGAATACTCCCTGGCGCTTATCTATGAGATAGCAGCCACGGGTATGAAGGGGGACCTTCGAACGGTGCTCACAGTGTGATCATAAACATCTTTAGGTGATCCTGGCTGGACGCAGTGGAAACGAAGGTCACATTTTCTTGGGGAATTGGTAATTTTCATCTGGATCCGTTGAGCGTTTTATAAGTGAAACCCCAACGTTGGGGCAAATGCATTGTGAGTATCTTGGTTGCACATCTTCAAGGTCTCCTCTACCGACAGAAGGTGGCTCACACACCTGCCACATTGATTAAGTGGCACTTCATTCAACAGAAGTTGGAAGCGCCTGAATTGCGACTGTGAGCAGGTCCCGTTTCCTCGTCGTCTGCCATCTCGGGTGGTTCACGGAGGTCATGACTTACGTAAATTGCCTACGATGACCACTCAAAACTTCTGAAGAGCTGTACATAAATGGCGTAGTTCATGCACATGTGATCTATTAACAAACAGTGTCGTTGTTTAGTGCTATACATGTTTCTGTTACAGTACACATTGAAGAGCCTAAGGACTAGCACGTTTGTTACATGTGTTCAAGAGACACCCGCCCATCTCTCTTTCGATGCGGCCTTATCGTCCAGCGTCCCCTCAACTTGGCTATTTGGCCGATACGGGAGAGAAGTCCAAGCCAGCCCGGGGAACTGGGTGTTGTGGTGAGAGAGATGATCACTGACAAGCCAGCCGCAGGCTTTTCACCGGTCAGTCCTTTGGGGTGATCGCAAGAAATTTGGTCCGCAGCCATTGTTGACAGATCAAATTCGACAACCATGCTGGTCAATGGATACGACTTGAACAACGTCTGCAGACAGTGTATGCCTGAGCTTCAGAGCTTTCCTCTAACGCGCGGGTAGATGGGTACATGTAAGAGCACTTACTCCAGTCACTCTGCTACCACAAGTCTAAACACTCTGCTTTACCATCCTTGCGAGTGTTGCGTCAACAGGCTATAAAGGGGTCTTAGAGATCTTTATGAAAGGATATCCTCCATTCCCTCGAGCCATCTCGAGCTCGTCATGATCTTCCTAATTCTATCGATTCCAGTCCGCAAATCGTAAACTTTTCCCATCCAAGAACACCCATCACCGCATACTCACCGCCTACGCCTCCAGCTTCTCCTCAGGCCACCTCACTTCATACCCGCCCACCGTCTTCTGCACCTCCAAATCACCAGGGTCATTCTCGAAAAGCGGCTTCTCCAACCTCTTATCCACAACCTGCTCGACCACAAACCCCCTCTCGCGGCACACATCAAAGAACGCCAAATCCTTGTGCCTCAACCACGGCCGGTAACTCGTGAAAAACACATACGCCACCGCATCCCTCCTCCTCGCCAGCGCCATCTCAATCGTATCCACAAGCTTCCCATGCTCCGAATGCCTAAACAGCAGATCCGCCAGCACCAACACATCAAACCTCGCCCCCTCCCCTCCCCCCAGCTTCTCCAGCAACGGCACCACGTCCGCGCCCCAAACATACCCCGCCGGCACCACCACGCCCTCCAGATCCCCCGCCTCGTCCACGTTCTTCTGCATCGTCTGCACAATCTCCACGTCCGGGAAGTCCGTCACGACCACCCTCTTCGCGCCCAGGATCCCCGCCGTCAGCGAGGGCAAGCCCGCGCCCGCGCCGAGCTCGAGCATCGTGCGCCCCCGCACGCGCGCCGGCTCCGCCTCAAAGTAGTCCGAGACCACGCGGCTGCCGTTCCACAGGTGGTGCGCCTCCGTCGGCGAGTAGCCGACCAGGTGCAGCGTGAGCACGCGGCCCGAGGCGAGGGTGTGCGACTGCGTGGTCGGCGGTGGCGTGGGCGGGTAGTAGTCCTCCGGGTCCTGGAAGAGGTCGCCCGTGTCGCCGTCGGCGACGTCGCTGACTGGGCTCATTTTTGTGGTGAGGGTTGGTGAGGAATTGGATGGAGGGGTCGTTGATGGCGGGGGAGGGGCAGAAATTTCCTGGGCCCCGCGATGAAGGACTGTGACTTGAGTTCAGACCTCAGCTGCTAAGGCAGACCAAGTAGTTGTTTGGGTGACTTCAAGGAACCTAGTGAGTTGTAAGAAGCGATTTGAGTGAGATTTATTGAGGGACTCTCACCTGAGTGTGCGTGGTTGTGGTTGTGAGAAGATGAGTCGGGATTTTCCAGACTTTTTTTGCGATGAGGTGAAGTTGTGGGTACAGTGCGCGCTGCCCCTCCATCACCCCTCTGGTTCGCATAGGATAGATGGTTTTACTGTGCGAGCGCTAATCTCGCACTCAACCAACTCGTAGATCGACTCCCTGAGAGTGGCATCAAGCATAAAATATCTTGAAATGATGGTCAGATTAGTTGTACTAAGAATGTGAATGCATAGGCTCCATGCCAGAGAAGCAGAACCACGCCTCCTCAATGGTATTAAAACTCGCGCCCAATGATGCCAATAAAACAGTGACGATTCTCCGCCTCAACCAAACCTCTGCTTCGCCAACTCCTTCAACCCCTTCATTACCCCCTCCTCCCTCTCCCGGTACTCCCTGACCCTCTCCTCCCTCTCCGCCGCCCTCGCCCTTGCAACCTCCTCCCGCCGGATCTCCCTCTCCGTCTTTTTCCGCTCCTCCCGCGCCTTCATCGCCCGGTACTCCGCCACCGAGTCCCCGCCACCCATCAGCTCCTGCTCCCCGACCTCAACCTGCCCGTCCCCGCCCTTGTCCGCGAACCCCTTCATCTTGTCGTTCACCAGCGCCCGCTTCTCCAGCTTCCGCTCCCTCGTCCCCGCGTCCGCGCGCGGCACCAGCTCGTCCAGCCGCTCTCGCTGCTGCTTGCGATCGTCCTTCCTCTGCGCCCGCAGATCCTCCACCTGCGCCTCCCGCTCGCGCTGCGCGTCCTCGGCGAGATCCTCCCGGCGCAGCGACAGGTCCGCGAGACTCGGGATCCCCGGCCCGGAGCGCCGGCCGCCCTCGCGAGCGCTAGGCGGCAGCATCGGCCCCAGGTCGTCATCATCATCATCATCAACATCATCAACATCATCGTGCCCTTCCTCCCCATCCTCGTCCACGTCCTTCTCAGTCCTCCCCAGCGGCGCATCCTCTGGAGCCCTCTCCTTGGCAGCCATGAACATCTCCGGATCATACCACCCGGAGCTCAACTCCCCGCGGTTCCACTTCCCCATGAAACTCTTCCACCGGCCCCGGACCTCCCGCTCGTCCATGTCGCGCATGTCCTTCTGCTTCTGCAGGTCCAGGTAATACGCCAGCAGCGGCCTGAAGACGTCCAGATCGTTCTTCGAAAGCGCGCGCGCGTCGTACGGCAGCGCCGCCGCCGCCGCAGGAACGTCTTTGCTGCTGCGCGCGCTGCTCTCCCGCGGGCTGTCCCGGTGGTGATGACGGTGGCTTCTGTGCCGAAGGTGGTGGTGCCGCCGCCCCTCATCCCTCCCCTCTTCGTCGGACCTCCTCGGCCTCTTCGCCCGATGCTCCTCATCGAGCGGCGACCGCCGTCTGACATCCCCGCGCCTCCGCTCCGGCGATCTCGACCGCGACCGATTCCGATTCCGATCTCCCGGCATGACGGTGCTCCGCAAAACTTTCTTTGCTGTGTTCGGTGCAGATGAGACGGTGATGAGAAGAGGCAAGGCAAGCCGATGGAAGGTCAAGGGGGTTGGCGAACAGATGTCCAGACTTGGGACAATCAAGCTTTCCCTCACAACCAACACGTCAAAACACGCCCCTTGGTCCCAACTTCCTTGCGAGGACGGACGGTGGCTGACAGGGATCTCCCTACAGGCGCGAATCGTCACCGCGTCAGTGGGGTCGCCGTCGTTTTGTTTGACTACAGTTTCAGTGCGTTTGGAACCCGCAATCCCGCGAAAAAGAGTGCGAAAGCCAGCCGATCAGCCGAGAGTTCATTCGCCGTCTGAAGAATATGGCGAAAGGATTGACGAATGTAACCGTTTAATCTTGTTGATGCTGTAGGCAATGGAAGGTTAATTGGGGCAATTCGGATGAGCCGATGCTGTGCGTTCCCCTTTGCTTTTTTGGTCGTTCGGCGTTTGTGGTTGCAGAAGGGAAGAAAACGCCCACCATAGCGGGCAGAGAAAAAGGCAGGGGCTCTTGGGTGGCTGGGAACCCGGAGCCGTGGGTACCCCAAATTCGGCCCCGGAACTTACCACCTCCCCCGGCCAGAAGGTGCCGGCTTCCCCTCATGAACGGTCCCCGAGAACGCCATTCACCCCGGTCGTTCCATATCGCCGGGTCTGTCAGCGACGTCCCTGTCAAACTGAAATGTTTCAATTTTCAGCAACTCAGGCATGACTGTCAAGGGGCAAGAAGCGAGAGATTTGGGAAATAAGAAATGGGCGTGACAGACAGCGACGTATATTCGTCAGGACGTAGCCTGATCCCGAGATATGTAGAACCTCGATAAAACCTCTATACAACAGAATCTTCGACAGCCAATGGCGGGTATCGACATTGCAAAAATGAACACCGAACGATGCAAAGACCTTATCACGGCAGAAACATGCCGGCCTTCCAGACCATTCCCGTTTCCCATCATCCCAGCCATGCTATCGTAAACATATACCACGAACCTTAAATCTCATCCTACGACAACTCTCAACGGGCTTTCCCTTCTCGTCTTCTTCATGACTCGGGCAAAGGATTGTTGTGTATCGTGCAACCGAGACACTGACAGTCGTCACCGCAGGGACACGATGAAGTCTCGCCGGCGCAGCCATCCCCGTCAAAGGGATACGTGACGAAGAAGAAGTCGCTGGCAGACAACGCCTGTTCTTCGCTCAAGCCTGATGCGGCATCGGATGGCGTCTGCGGTGCGGGGGGTGAGCCGCCGCTTTCGCCGTTTGTGTGTTTTTCGACTCCACGGACTCCAGCTCCGTTGGTTGTCGCTTCCGAGTGCCCGTTGGCGCCGTGGTTACCGTTCGTGCCGCCATTCGTCGCTGCGTATCCATCCTCCATCATGCTGTTCCATGCAGACCGCACGTAATCCTGAGTCGCATCGTTGTAAGGGTGAGCTGCGCATCCGACACACTGACAGCCGTCGCCGCAGCTGCACATGTGCGATGTCGATTCATCCATGGCGAGATTCGTGCCTTCAGGCACAAAGCCAAGGGGTGCGGGCATGTTGAATCCTGCCGGTTGTGGCGAAGGCTGTCCGTACTGCAGAGCCTCCATTGTCTGCCTCCATTGAGCAGGTTGCAGAGGCGACATGTAGGATCCGTACTGCGGCGGGTAGGTGAAGATGGTAGGCTGGAAGTAAGACTGATACATGCCTTGTGGCATGGCAATTGGTGTTTGGAAAGGGGACATGGCCATCCCGTTTGGTGACATGTGACCATTCAAGTGGCCGTTCGTAGCCACATTCGTGTTGATCGGCGGCGCTGCTTTGCTGGAGCAGCAACCGCCCGTCTTCGGTTTCGGTTGAGTCTTCGGGCTCGATGTGACGCTGGACGGTTGCGTTGTGGTGCCTTCACTTTTGCTCGCTCCTCCGCAACATGAGCCTCCTGTGCTGGCGGTTGTCGGTGTAGGCGCAATGGGAGCCTTCGCAGCTCCTCCTCCGCAACAAGAGCCTCCATTTGATGCCTTTGGAGGCGCTGGTGGTGGCGCCACTTTCGCTGTGCTCGCTTTTGACACTGCACTATTCTGTGTCATCATCGCCCCCGGCGGGAACATGCCAGGCATTTGCGGGAACATCGGGTACATGATCGGCTGGTGGAAGCCTCCGTTGACGGCGCCCATCATGGACATGGCCCCGTACTCCATCCCGGGCCTTGGCGCCTGCATGCCCGCCATTCCGTTCGCGTGGGGTAAGGCGTTCGCCTGCGCCATGTCGTAGGGCGGCAGGATGTTGACATGAGCAGCGTCCATTCTCTCCAGGTTGGCCGGGTCGAAGGACTGCTTGCGACTGGCGGCCTTGGCGGCGGGTTTCTGGACTCGGAAGGAAGCGGCGGGGGCCTTTGTCGGTGACATTGGCGGGGCATCGCTGGCGGGCGACTCGGCCTTGACGACGCTGGATGTGGCGGACGACTCGGTGGGCGTGCCGGCGGTACTCGAACCGCAGCCGCATTTTTGCTTCCTGGGGATGGCGGCGGTGACGCTGCCGCAGCCGCAACCGCGGGCGGGCGGGTGAGGACATGTGCTGAGCGGGCGACCGGGCTTTCGTACGGGGACCATCAATCGCTCATTCGCGTGGGTGCATTTTGTGGAACGATGACCACGAATGCATGGCTCACTGAGCGACGGGCGCGATCACAGGTCAGCGTCTTCAGGGTCTCAACGTCGGGCGATGCGGTGTTGGAGAAACCAGCAGACAGAGCGCAATGTTCAAGAAGGCAATGAGCGCGGCAGTGGGGAGGGAAATGCGATGAGAGGCGCGACAGGAGGGATAGACGGAGACTTACCAAGCCATCTTCTGGCCGTTGATGAGCGGCATGGCGGGCGGTGATTTGGCGATGTCGGTGTCTGGTGAGACAGGTAACGGAGCGAGAGATTTTGGCGATTATCGGCTCGTGGGAGTGAAGACGAGGACGATGAAGCTCAAGAAAGAAATCGAGCAGCGACGGTTCTCGCTTTGGCTCTGACTCCTGCAGACCTTGGACCCTTGGAGTGAGCCGCGAGGTGAAACATGGAGGCGGGCGCCAGTTCGAAGGGTACAGTGTCCGTCTAGCAAGCAACGGGTGTAGTCAGAGGTGATTGTACGTATCGCATTTGTATTTTGGCGGAGGGCTGGGGGCGACGATGGATGAGCCGGTGTGATTGAGAGTGAGTGTTCAGTACGGCGAAGTTGGGCGAGGTGTTGTTCAGCGCAGTCAATCCGGCGACGATGCAGGGCGGGACGAGAGACCGGAGATTGGAGATTGGCGAGAAAATGGAACGGCGGCTGAGGAATGTGGAAGAGGTGAGTTGAGTGAACCGCAGTCTGGGTCGGCGAAGGTAAAGAATGGCAGCCCAGGCAGGCCAAAGTGCACTTGACAAGGACAAGCACAAGCACAAGCACCAGCACCAGCGTCCGGGACGGGAAAGCGAGTAAGGCCAAAGGTACGAATCAGACGCAGCGGCGGCGGCACGGGCACGGCGGCAGAAATGTTTGTGGAGGGATGGCAGCAGTTGTTAAGGCCGGGGCGGTCGCTAAAAGAGAGAGCCCCTCCAGGCTTTAGGGGAGGCAACAGAAACGGGCTGGTGGACCGTTTAGGTGGACGGACGTCGGGGATCGGCCTCCAAGCCCAGCCCACACTCCTGGCACCCTGGGCCAACATTGGGGCTTTTACTTGGGGTCTCTTTATGTTCGCAAGACGACGACAGGAGACTGATGCTTTCTCGATCCTTGAGGTACCTATGTTACTAAGGCGAGGTTGACAGACACAGTAAAGAAAGCCAGGGGGAGAGATAGAGAGTGGACAGAACAGAGACATGACCAACACCAGCCAACACCAAAAACCACCTCACAACAACACTACCAGCGGCTAAGGCAGAGCCCGCTAGAGCAGGTATCTAGGTAGGTAGGTAGGTAGGCGGCGCTCGCACGGGCAGCCAACAACAGCAACAGCAGCCAGCCCGCCCGCCCGCTGCCCAGGTGCCCGCCCAGCTTGTCGGCGGGACAAGAGCGAAGCGGCGATGGGAAGCCGCCAAGGATCCTTGTAGCGCATCGAAACAGCCCCACGTGCGGGGGGTTTCTTAGCGTCTTCACAGGCACCGCACCGCACTCCAGCCCGCACCGCACCACCTAAGGTACCTTACCACCTGCACCATGCACCATGCCCTGCACCACCACCCGACCTCACCCACCCACCTACTGCATAGTACATGGCACATATGTAAACCCATCTATCAGTCTCGCTCGTCCGCTCCTCACGCAAGCGCCTCAAGAGACTCATCAGCCCAACATGAGATTTCTCGCTCGGCCTCACCTCACCTTGCTCAGACGGGCAGCTCTCTGACCAACGCTGACACCTACATCAACACGATCCATCCGTCCCAATCCCATCTCATGCCGTCCCATCTCAGGGTCCCTGGACGTCCTTCAATGCGACCATCCTCCCTCTACCACCACCTACCGAAGTGGCATTACACTTTATATACCTACATAAGGTATCTGAAAGGTCCCTGCCGCTACCGTACCCGACGTGTCCCGCGGGAGGAGAGGGAGGGGTAATCAATCGGGTCGATAAGTACGGGCTGCGTGCTCGGCGCATGGACTCTGCCGCGGCCCTGCCGCTGCCATGCCATGCCATGCCATGCCTCGTCATGGTCGTCTCGTAGCTTGATGGAGGTGGTGCCGCCACGAGGCGACGACCAAGTCTAGATCCCTTTTGGATCCCAACCTCCATCACCGCATCTCTCCAGCCCAGTCTGATGGGTAGGTAGGTGGAAGACTAAGTGTCTAGACATTCTTAGACAACCATCTCCCACCCCGAGACGAATCCAACTTCACCCTGCCAGGGATACGCCGACAAAGATACACGAGGACTAATAACAACGTCCTGCAGTCGATACTTCAAAAGTACCTTTGGCCATATTTCTTCTTCACGTCCCTCTCGCATCTTTGACATGT